TAAGGGACCAAACTACAGGACAACAGCACTGCAAAGAGAAGGAAAACTTGAAACCAACCCTATACCAACCCGTCTGGCCAGCGTGGTATAGTAGGCCAAAACCTCCTTTCTAAGGAGAGGCCTATGTCCAGCAGTGGACTGTTATAGGCTGTTGATGTGATGTGTGATGATTAAAGTCTATATTTTCTTTGTGTAATAGCATTAACCAAGATTTACAATGCATACTACAAGCCATGCTTAGTTTAACTAAGTATTTTTTTTTGTAGACGGTGTGGGAAATCATCATTAGCCAGGAGTACGTGGTGTTTATCTACTTGGTGGCGCCCCACTTTGGGGAGGCTACCATGCTTAGTTTGAACCTAGGATACGCTCCAAATATGCACTAGAATGTGATTGGTACATAGTTAGTTTGTAAGGGGATCGTGGCTAAGTGGCAATTGAGTAGGTTAACACATTAGAAAGTTAAGCAATCCTACCCAGGTAAGTCGAAAGATGGGTGACCATTTTTTAACACATTAAGACCCCTCCGTGCCTCGGAGAACCTCTGTCGCAATCGTTACAGGTAGTTGGGGCCCTAAAAAGTTCGACAACAGTTTTTGTACAGAACTTCGATATCGCCTGCTTGGGTGGAGGTCTGATGGCCGTGGCGCAGTGAAAAATCGAAGTTCAGCCGTATCCTAGTAGACTTAAAGAAGACCCCAACCTGGTTTGGAATCAAGGCCCAGCAGGTTTTGTTTGTTAGAGGGTTTTGACTATCGGGCTACCGTCATATCGAGTTCCAGGTTAGCGTCCTACCCCAGGGTGACTACGATCACTCCGGGATGTGCCTCAGACATGAGGTACGGCAGGGAGGACTCCAGAAATCGCTGGGGTTCCTTCCGGACTGCCGAGGTAGGCCGCCGCGGGGTTTAGTGGGTAGACCGGTTCTCCGGGAGTCCCACATACGCCCTACGTTTCCCCAACAGAGGGTATGCTGGCGAAAAGCATTCCCCGCGTTAAAAAAAAAATGTACGACTCTGACCTCATCTGTGGTGGCACTCCTTAATTCATTCAAATAAGTTTTATCTTTTTCTTAACCTTATCTTTGCATCTTACCAACTTTACTTTTCATATGGAACTGCTACTGAATACGTGTGGTGATGCATTAAGAATACAAAGTGTAACTACCAATGTTCATTCCGTGGGTGTCGTAAGAGTCGGCTATGGGAGCAAACTACTCAGGATAAAGCACTGCAAAGAGAAGGAAACCTTAAAACAAATCCTAAGCCTACCCGTCTAGCCAGCGTGGTATATTAGGCAAAAACCTCCTTTCTAAGGAGAGGCCTATGTCCAGTAGTGGACTATAAAAGGCTGTTCATGATGATGATTGAACTTTTAATTTTCCTATGTTATTCCTAAAGCCCGGTTAACCGCAGTAGGCCTCATCTAGTGGAATTAAAATTATACTTGGTGAAATGTTCGCGTTTAACACGCCTCTGCTTACTCCTTCAGGTAGATAAGCGTGAGTGGGTGTATTTCATTGAGAAAGAAGTATTAACAGTTTAGAAGTTCTTAACAATGGGTAAATTAATATTTGACGGCAGTTTTACAATGGACAGACACTGCAAAGAGAAAAACAATGAAACAAAAACAATAGCTCAACGTTACTTTTATTGAACTTTTATCAACGTTTGTTTTACTCTATTGCAAGAATCTTAAGTGGAGCAATCAATACACGCTATATAACAAACAAAACTACGAATTATCATTTATTGTTCGTAGAAACATACAAAATTTGTTTGGACTTTAACAAGACACGAGTCTTTTGAAATCGTTTACGTGTCGTATCGATAGATGTCGCTAGTTGTATTCTTGAGCTAAAGTCGTGATCCAAAAGATGTTTACTACTACTGGATCTTTGTATTTGCTCCGTGGACTGGACTAACAAATTAATTTTGATCTTTGTTATATTTTTGCAAATATTAATCTGTTAGTCTATTTCTCTAGTCGTACTATAAGTATCTATATTTCTGACTATGTTTAAACGTAACACTGACCTATTTTATTTGCTTGGTTCTTTTTACTGTTTATTATGAAAATGATAATTGGGTTGTTTATGAGCACATGGAGCGCCAAGTGACCCCACCGTTACCCAATCTTCGTCTATAAGCTTGTTCCTTTAGAGTTTTCCTTTATTTTTATTATTTTCAGTTAATGCGGCAATACTTTATTCTATAAGTATTTTTTATGCTGTTGCTAAACTCTTAAAATAAGTGTATTTTATTTTTTATTTTATTTCTATTTTTAAGAAGACAACTTCTTCACTAGGAATATATCCTGTGTTGCGGAGGACTTTCCAAACACACATGAAACGCACACAAAGAACACCCAGACTCAGAACGATAGTTTGAGGATCACACAAAGTGTCGTCTCATGTTAGGATCGAACTCACAACACTCAGTGTAGTCCGCTTAAAGCACTGTACGCCAGCCATGCAGTCGTAGGTACTTTGTGTGTATTGGGTGTGGTTCGAACACGCAGTCTTTCAACCGTAAGCTAGATGCCTTTATGCTACCGACACTTAAGCATTCTTGAACCTCATAATTAACTGATAATAAGTAAGTAACCGTACTTCTAAAGGAAATATAAAAATCTTTTGAACTAGACAATTTTACGATTAGGTACTAAAATAATGATAAACTTTGATAGCTTAGATATAAAAGTCTGACAAAACATTCGTATAAACCAAAGTTTCTACGATAAAACTGATATTACTTACATTTAACTTGTAATTATTTTATTGTGGACGACTCCATTTCTCGGAATGCGGTCTTAGATATAAAACAATAGAACTGTCTTCTTTCACAACATCACGTTCGAAAACCAACCGAACTGTAAACTCGTTAAAGACGAAAACCGTTTGTAATTATTTAACATTTGAGACTAAAGAGAACTGTGGAGTGCTAATGAAAAAGTTATTTTATGATTGCAAAAGATTTTTATGGTGGTTCCTTGTTACTCAGGACAATATGATGTCGCCACAAGTTTTCTGTTAAACAATGGCGCATAAGCGTGTCCAATGATCGATGGAACGGGCGTTTTATTGCTAACATAGAGCTTTATACAGAAACTCTTTCATAGTCTTTCTTATTTAGTGGTATAAATTCTTTTGAGAAAAAAGAAAACGTTGGACTGCTTATCATTCCGCTCGTCATAAAATGGCTCTAGGAAATGCTTTGACGCACTGCACAGGCAACTTGAATTATATTTTTAGTATTTTATAGCTGCAATTTCACGAGATATTAGCGCACATTACAGTCATAGTATGGTAACAGAATGTCTTGAATTTCTACCGTGTCTTGTCATGTGGAGATTGAATATTTTTGTTGAAGTTATCGTCGGAAAGTTTATTAAGGTTTGAGATCTCTTACGTTACGCACATCTCCAATGATATTATTATTTTGAATGCTTTATTAAGTAGTTGATAAGTTTGCGCACGTAATTCATCTGGTTGGTCTTTATTAATTAACAAAATCTGCGATGTTTCATTAGAATTATATTGAATTCTTAATTGTTTATTGCGCTAATATAAAACCGACATAGACCAGTATTACTTATTATGCATCGGGCTTGGCACGGACTACAAACAGACTAGAAGGGACTATTGCCATTATAATGTTACCTGTTATATTGAGGGTACTTATTATAGCTTTTTTCCTTAGATTTGTAATTATTTTTTAATTTTTAGTGCTCTTTGTCAGTATCGTTTAAAGTCGGTTCAACTTTTTTTTAAAAGGTTTTTTTTTGTTTTAAAAAAAGTTAACTCCCGCGTTAAGAGTAGGTATATCCTGTGTCGCGGCACAAGCATACATACATGAAACGGACACAAAGAACACCCAGACTCAGGAGAACAATTTGTGGTTCACTCAAAGTGTCGTCCCATGTGGGGTTGAACCCACAACACTCGGCGTAGTAGGAAGCGGCGTGGCGACCACTTAAACCACCCTATTTTACCATTTTTAGTGCAAGATATTTTGTAATGAGTAGATGATTACGATATTTAAAACACTACGTTCCGTAATGTATAGTACCAAACTGTATTAAATAAATTTAATAAGTCCGTTACTTTATTTAGATAAGGTAATAAGATGTAACGTTTATACCTGAAAATATATTGATTTCCACATTACTTAATTGTCTAAAAGGAGTGGTATTGAATGAAACTAAAAAGGAAATATACCCTGCCGAAAAAAAAAAAAAATTCATACTCGGTTTACAAATGAAAGAGTTTTGAGGAAACAAACATGAAAATAATTGCGGAAAAAAAATTAATAATGAAGAAACCAGTTTCAAAAAATCTGTTAAATATCTATTAAATATATTTACGTATGACGTCACGCCAGCCATTTTATAGTTTACCAACATTAAATCAATAATATTTATTATTATTATTACATATATATAAAGCTCTTCCCAAATTCATCCATACCAGTTCAGACGTTCTGGTATGATTGAACAATCAAGATTAAAACATGTACCCTCACAAAGTTTCCCATTTAAAGTGTTGGGAATAAGACTTAATCTAAAGCTTTTGAATTATAATAAGTTACTAAGATTATTAAGGTAAATAAAACTTTTTAGAAACCACGGATAAATTAAAAACAAAAACGTGAAACGTACCTATTCATAAATTACTAAACATACTAAGCGGGTTAGTAAAGAGTTCGTGTTTTAATAACTTGTAGTTACACAGGATTACAAATTATCATAATCATTAGGACTTTTACTAGACACATTTTATTAGATGCACCTTTACCAAAGTCAATAAAAACAACTTAATAGACGTAGTTCAACGATATGTGTAGTTAAGGCTTCCTACAAAAAGTTGACATTCAGACGTAAACCCGTGGTCTATTTATATCACAATTTATTTGGTATACAACAAAATTCCACAATACAAGTGTGTAAAGTATTCTATTACAACAGTTACATCATGCATTGAGCCGCATTCACCGAGCGACATGGCTCCTAGCAGATGCACGCCTGTTCCGCACCACGGCACGCCGCTCTATTGTTGCGTGCGAGCGAGACAACCTGCCCCCATTGTGTACGTGACAAGGACGGAAGTACAGTCTAAGGTGGGGCGCAGGCTGTACTCTCTGAACGTGGATTGGACGTCGTCACGCCGCCCAGAAGCCGCGCCCCCCGCACGCCGAGACCCACACGGCCGCTCCATCAACTCGTCAGTCTATCGTCCGTCTTCGACGCGACACAATCACCTTCTCGTCTGTGCTCATTCACCGCATTGTGCCATATAACACCATAGAGTTAATGCTCTAATAGAACATACGACTTAGTAATAAAATTTTAATCGCTATGTCCACATTAAGTCATCACCCTTATGCGTTCTCTATGCATCATGGTATGCTGCCGGAGTATCCGAGCGCACCACAACCACTGCCGGCCTCCTCGCCGCAGTCAGAGGGCCACATCAAGAGACCTATGAACGCATTCATGGTCTGGTCCAGGCTCCAGAGACGTCAAATCGCCAAGGACAATCCGAAAATGCACAACTCTGAGATCTCAAAGAGGCTAGGAGCCGAGTGGAAGTTGCTATCTGAAATGCAGAAGCGGCCGTTCATCGACGAAGCTAAGAGGTTGAGGGCTCTGCACATGAAGGAGCACCCGGACTACAAGTACAGGCCACGGAGGAAGCCCAAGCCCCCTACCCAAGGAGCCCCAGGTGCCGGTGCGTTCCCGAGCTTCCCTCTGCCATACTTTGCGGGACCGGCTCCCGGTGTAGGACATTTGGATGCCCTATCGTATTCAGCAGTGCCACCATACTTCCCACATCAGTTGGATCACCTACAGTTCTCCAAGTTAATGGCGCCGACGGCGGAGAAACTACCGACGGTATCGTCATCGGCGGCGGCAGTAGTGTCATCGTTCTATTCATCACTGTACACGTCACCAGCGGCGCCACCAAAACCTTTTCACTCATCGCTGTTCCCGCAGTACGGAGTACCATCCTCGCCTGTGTCACCCGTGACTCCAACGCAGCACAGCCCCCACGACGACCAGCTGAGGCGGCCTGTTTCCGTCATATATTGAAGACCAACTTGCCTTCCTTGAAAGACCTTGTCTTTTAAGGTTCGGCACACCGCAGGAGACGGAACATCAGTTAAAGTGTTTTAGACTGTGAATAGAACTTAAATGTATTGACATTATTTATTTTCTAGAGTTACATAATTTAAAGAGTGCGGTCTCATATCAAGTGGCTTGTATATATGTTAAGATAGCCTCGGGAGAGGAGATTTCTGTTTCAACTGTGATTTCTTTTGTTTTCGATGCATCTGTAATATTTAAGGTAAAGTAGCGCTGGTTGGTTAGTTATGTCAAGTGAGATTGGTACCAAAAAGAGATTATTTTCTATAGGTGTCGCATCTAGATGAATAGTTAGTCGTTTATGTCAACCCTGATTTTTGTTTTAATGATATCATAATGACTGTTGAGTTTAATTGTTTCTCGCCTCGGTTCGTTCAGGGTTGCTTCTCTTTACTTTTCTGTGTAATTTATTTATTGGTTTCAACTGTAGATGTAAATTTAAGTGCTAGTTGTATTTAAAGTAAGTGCATTAGTGCATCCCAAAATGTATATATTAGTGTAATTGAATTATAGATGTCAGTACCAACGATGTATTATAATAATGGAGAAAATAACTTTGTTAAATGCCATACAAAATAAACTAAATTGTTTTTATTTTACTTTATCGTTTAATTCACAACTTCCTAAACTGTGACTTATTAAGTCAGAAACTTGACTTGTATTATATTCAGTTGCTTGAATAATAATAAAAGTCATCGACTTGTATTCTATAAATACATTTATTCACTTGGTTAAAATGAATAAATGGCGCTTTCATTTGAAATTAGAACTTACGAATATATTCATTGAAAAGTGTGATTTCATTTTGATGTTCATTAATTTCTATAAAAAAATAATTTATTTAATGACATTATTATTATTTATTGGAATTCCAGATTTCGGATTTACTTAAAATAAATACTGTTGATTATGTCATCAGTTATTTTGACGGGTTTAGTGTTAATTACGAGTGTAGCGACTTCCGGGGAAGTCGAAGTCTTTGAACTTAACATCTTTATATAATTAAGTGTCATTCACTTCCTATTAAGGTTAATTGGTGCGTACGTGATTCAATTTCGGACATGTTTTATTTATATCAATGAACATGTCTATTTTCCATTTCAGACACTTGAATATCAAATTAATTATTAATTTAATCGAATGATTTTACTATTGAAGCTTGGGGCTTTTGTACAATCATTGGTTTTTATGATTCTCATATCAAAGAGTTCTACATGTCTATATAGCAGTTTGTAAAGTAATAATAGAAATCATTTGAAAGTTAATAACTTTGAATAAACGAATTGAAAATATAGGATATAAGTTCTTATTATATTACAGTATAAATATAGATAGATCTATACTAATATTATAAAGCTGAAGAGTTTATTTGTTTGTTTGAACGCGCTAATCTCAGGAACTACTGGTCCGATTTGAAAAATTCATTGTTAGATAGCCCATTTATCGAGGAAGGCTATATCATCACGCTGAGACCAATAGGAGCGGAGCACCAATGAAGAATGTTTCAAAAACGGAGAAAATTTATTACTATTGAGAGACGCAGACGAAGTTGCGCGGGTCAGCTAGTCAATAATAATTGTTCCGTCGGCACGAGAATGTTCTGATATTGTTTCTTCATTATTATTTCTTAGATAAACGCCGAAGCAGTACAGTGCTATCACTGGGTAATTATCCTGACTACTAAGCTAGACTCCATCGAGATGTATTATGGTAGTTATGGTTTCAATTTTCATCCAGAATAATTGTGTCATCACACATCAACAGCCTTTAATAGTCCACTGCTGGACATAGGCCTCTCCTTAGAAAGAAGGTTTTGGCCTACTATACCACGCTGGCCAGACGGGTTGGTATAGGGTTTGTGTCAAGTTTTCCTTCTTTTTGCAGTGCTGGTGTCCTGCGTTGTTTTGCGCCCTTAGTCGCCTCTTACGACACCCACGGGATGAATTGGGATAGTGACATTCCGTATTCTTAATCCGTCACCACACGGACAAATAAATTAAAATAATTGTGTGATGAATACGATTAACTGTTCCGTGTCTGGATGTAATTTGTGTTGTACTTATTTAGTGATATATAGGCCTGTTACTATAGTATAGGATCTACCTAAATTGGGATCAGAAGGCCTTGTATAAAGTGTTTCCAGTTATTCTAATCAATATTACTTATGAACTAGAAAGATAAAAGTGTGCAGGATCTTTTCCTTCTCTACTTTATGCCTTTTTGTTTAGTGTCTCTTCTGTATGGTGACGGATTAAGAATACGGAGAGTCACCACACCTATTCATCTAAGGGAGTAAACTATGTAGGATAACAACACTGAAAAGAGAAGGAATACCCTTTAATAGTCCACTGCTGAACATAGGTCTCTCCTTACAAAGGAGGTTTTGGACTACTACACCACGCTGGCCAGACGGGTTGGTATAGGATTTATGTCAAGTATTCTGACTTAAAGTAAACTACACACTAAACATCATGATGTTTAGTGTGTAATAAGCAGTTTCTCGTTATCCTTAAAGAATAACCTTCAAAATTTTGACCTCTGCGCAACAACTAGTCTATGTAAGTCAGGTGTATTCAGTTTGTATTTGAAGGCAGTGGCCAAGGTCTGGGACTTTCCTCTACCTTTTCTGTCGTTGATGTGAGAAATAGAATCTCTGTTATAAAGCTCGTCTATTCAAAGGATTAAAGTATCTACAGTTTTTTTAGAGGGAAGGAAGGTACACTCCTCTTATTGAAGAAGTCCTCTTGATTACTGAGTGACCAGGAATTTTAGACAAGACTTGAGGATGTTGACTTTGTTGACGTGCTTATTTGACTTCGACATATCACCACGTTATCGTTGTACTCAGGACGGGGTGTAGAGTGTGTATGACAAAAGGGTGTAAAACAAGTTATATAATTGGAAGTAGAGACGGTTATGCCAAGAGAGCTATGCTTGATATTTCTCCGTGTGATTGAATTGTAAATAAAGAGATATAGAGACTAATGAAAGGTTTTATTTTATTTTTTTGAAAGACAACTCCAGCACTAGGAATAAATCCCGTGTCGCGGGGTTCTTTACAAACATACATGGAAACGGACACAAAGAACACCCAGACTCAGAACAACAATTTGTGAATCACACAAAGTGGTGTGCCATGTGGATCGACACCACAACACTCAGCGCAGTAGGAAGAGCCGAGGTGACCGCTTAAACCACTACACCATTTGTACTGACACAGTAAACAGGTAAACATGTTGAAGTGGCAAAGTGGCTGATTGACGGGCCTGTTGGTCGAGTGGTTAGATGCCCTGACTGCTAAGCCGGAGGTCGTGGGTTCGATTCCCACCCAGGACAAATATTGTATGTTGAGCATGATCATTTGTTCTGTGTCTGGGTGTAATTTATCTATATGATGTATGTATTTAAAAATATATAAGTATGTTTATCAGCAGTCTGGTCACCATAGCACAGGCTCTACCTAGTTTGGGATCGTCTGAGCCCAAACTAGGCCGTGTGTGAAATGTGTGAGGTATATTATTATTATTAATAAGCAAATCAGCAGGGATGGTATATGGGGCTGAAAACTTATTCAATAGAGACCATGGAGCGGAAAGTAAAGCCCAGAATGTCTATCAAAGAGATGGATTTAGTAAAGATCTCTGGCCGTCGGTGAATGCAGACAATTTTCAACCACTTTTCACAGAATTCATTTAGGGAGTACTATGTCCAGCTGTTAAGGTCATAAGGCTGAAAGGATGATTTTTGATTCCAAATTCAAAATCGGCTTCAATTTTAGCAAAACGTATATCAAAATATATATAGGTATGTATATCAAAATGATTGCAAACAAAAATCTATTTGCTTTTTTAAGTTTATTTAGTTTTTATGTAATGCTAAAAATGTACTTATAGATTACGGCTTTTTTATCAATACTTGGACGCATACAAGTAGGTTGTTTCGCTATATAATTTTATACATCAATATCTCCTTTTAAGTACATATTATTTACAAATATTCTATAAAAGCTAGCGTTTTAACTTATAATCTAATGAAATATTTCCAAACTTGAGACGTGATTTCATTTCAAAATACTTAACAAAATTTTATGACTAGTCATAATTCGTATACTTTACGTCTTAAATTCTTTGTTACTATGGCAAATTGAGTCCAAACCATTCTTATTGAATTTTAGACTTATTATAAGTTTTATTGACATAAGTTAAATAAACTAAACGATTACCATTTCTTGTCTGTTCAAAATTTTACAGAATAAAACAAAACTATCTTATACCGAAATAGTTTAGAAAGAGAAAGTACTCACCCCCTTGTAGATAAAATGTAACGCCACTCAATAGATGTCGTAACTGGCGGTTTGAAACCCCATTTCGTGTTACTATAGAAAATACTGCATTTTAATTTACATGTCGAATGTAAAGTCCCATACAATATGATGTTGGCGTTGTTAAAACTTGAAACAAACTACACAAAAACCCGTCTGGCCAGCGTGGTATAGTAGGCCAAAACCTTCTTTCTAAGGAGAGGCCTATGTCTAGCAGTGGACTAGTAAAGAATGATGATGATATAGTATGTAATAATAGTTATTATTTATCAAACAAAGCAAAAGTCTAGCTTTAATCAATTCTTAAGAATTATAGTACTTCGAAATTTAATTTAATTTCTTCTTGGTAACTTTTGTTTTTCGACTTAAAAGATACTAAGGTAGGTAGAAATAGGACGAAAACAATATCTAGATTAGTTTGAACAGAAGTTAGGGTTGTCCCCCACTCCGCTGGGAGAATAGAACATGGCTTTCAATTTAATAATTACCAACCCTTAGTCTGTACGGGGGCGTTTTTCAAATCAATTGTTTTATTTTATACCGTTCTTAGCTTTTAGAATGGGGCTATGAAATTGACGATTTGGAATTTATTAAAGTTTATTTTTTATTTTTAAAAGGCTCGCTA